GTTTTGAAATCATTAACACAACCTTGTTCAAAATTAAGAAATATATTCAAAATGAGAGTGTTCAAAATACCTTTTACACATGCCATAAGATTAACTGTATTAAAGACTAAAAATAATCATTTTTCTTTAACAGTCCCCGTTTTGAGGTCTGAGACACACAGACCTCACAAATCTAATTGATTAAGCCTTCTAATAGAGGAACCAAAACACTATACTAAAAAACTAAAACATTAGCCTAATTATATAACAGTCCCCTTTTTAGACAGAACCTCCTAGCTCCACTGCCAGGTCATGTGTCTGAAGCTGAACTCCATTATCTGAACTTATCAAATGTATCTTGCGTTATCCAACAATTTAATACTCACCTGATGAACCACAAAATTTTAACCAGTAAAAACTAAACTAAAAATACATTTCACTTATCAAACATGAAAAATCATAAAACTCAGTTATGGCAAATTGAAGAAAACACACAATAGAAATATCAGCCCAAGTATAAAATTAGAAAACCAGAGTAAGATATCTCGAAATTACTAAAAAATGTCCAGGAAACTTAAAAAACAATACTCGCCACAAAAATTACAATTTGTCAATACAAAACAATAACAACATCAAAAAAGAAAATAAATCATAAACACATAAAAATTACAAAAGACCTTTTTTTTCACAATTTAACAATAAGAACTTAGAGTTCGTCTCTATGCTCCTTCAATAGTCCTCCAAAAATGAATATGAATTCTTCATCAGGAAACGATCCAAAAATACGCGCAAAAAGAAACAAATGTTCTTGAAGAGTTCGCAAAAAAAAAACGAAAACCCGCAATAAAGAGAAGATAAGTTAATGATGATCTTGTAGCCTGATCTTTCACGTGTTCCTCCTCAGTTGTAAACCTCAGGTTTCCACCTGAGTTTCCGTTGCTCACTGAAAATTGGAGTCTTGTGCCAATATAACAGTGAGTTTAAGGAGAGGTTGCAATCTCCTTTTCTCAATGGAAGGACACCGGAACAGGATTATTGTGCCTGTCCGGGCCTTTTAAGCCTTGTAATTCAGAAAAACGAGGTGGTTTTGGCAGGAATCCCTGCCACACTTCTGCCCGGAACCGCAGATCCTCCTCCGCGCTGCGATGTGCCCGCAGACACTCCTCGACCGCAGGTTGAGACTGTAGATTCTCCTGTATGTCTCTAAGTTTAGACCTTCCTGGATGTCTTAGTTAAACAACTTATTTTAAAACATATGAATAGAGATGCAACAATCCAACAATCACCTTCCTTAGTTTAAGAAACACTATTTTATGTAAATTATTTGATAGGCAATATTTTGTTTAGTATATTCAATTTATAAATTTTACTTATTTCATATCCAAATAGTTAGCTCATCTTTAATGCTGCTAATACACAGTAAAACATTTAATGTATTTTGATTTAACTTCAATAACCTCTTTTTCCAAAAAGTAAAGAGAGATCCAAACTAAAAATTTGCTTATTAGATCAATTCCATTCATGTCCCCCTGTTTCTATAACAGAACAAATGTTCTGTCATAGAATACAATAAAAATCCTATACAACTCATTGAGATGAAATCCGCTATCACCACTAACTTTAGCCTCATGTAACACATTTGGATGCAATTCAAACATGGTGTCCCAGATGCTGTTACAATCTGCACACCTCAATCAAAGAATTTAATGTTTGATTAAATTTATGAAATCAACACAGAACTTGGTGTCATTTGCTCAATAAGCTCTATAGACACCCATCAATCCACTTTAACACCTTAATTTTAAATTCCATTTAAATTTAAATTTAGTTTTACTGAATGGTAGCCTCTGTACTATGTAAATAAAATTTAGATCATCTTCCTTAGTAGATGAAGCGTAACACACAATGCAATTCAGCTATAGTTAAGAAAAAATATATAATTTTAATAGTTAGTCCCTGCCCATTCTTTGCAGGCAGGAAGGGAAAAAAGACACATTAGCATTTTGTGAGACAAACAGAGTGAATCATGGAGGAAGTTAATGCATTTCCGAGGAATGCAGTGTCGTAACAGTTGGTGCACACCAACCCCCAAACTGCATTGTAAAACCTCTGACCCCAGGGGATGGGGTGTTCTTAACACTTAGAATTACACTGCAGGGCTTCAGGACGTGAAGACAACAGGGCGCATCAGTGCTATAACTAAAGTAAGAAGAGAAGAATGGCATCACACACTACAAAAAAAAAAAAAAAACTTATTCACCACTACTAAGTTTAGTTGGCACCCATTTCGTCTCCAACCTGCAGACTGAAGGGAACCCCAGGAGTGGGCTTTGGCGCCCAGGTCACATGATCAGAGGTGAGAATCCAGGATCAAACATGAGAACACACAACAGGACCACCGCTGAGCGACTTGCCATGCCCCAATTCTTTATCTGCTGAATCAGAAGGTGTCCAGAGTAGCAGTCATTCCTGCAGTGCAGAAACATCTGGATACAGTCCCGCTTTGATGAACTTTGGTCAGCCTTTCGTGGTCGACAGAGCAGGACATAGAAACCAGCAGACCAGTCATCCACTGAAACCCCCGTCCGGGTTTGTACAAAAGGCTATGATCTTTGTGGTCCCGACTCACTGCTGATTCCCAGCCATAGAAGACTCCCACAGATAACGCCTGAGTCCCTTTTGTTTTCAGCCAGGTATGAAAAGCAACACTCAAAGGAGACATCTGTTGCCAGGTCCTGTGAGCAGCACTTTGCCCTCACGTGACAGCAGGAGAACAGTTCGTCTTTGCTGACCTTCGTAATCGTTCAACAGCTTTTGGCTTTCATACAGCAGTCCAGCAGAAGATGGGCACAGTTCAGCATCATCATGTCTTTGTTCAGCAACAACAGCGGCCTGATGCGGTAATCAAGAAGATCCCTTCAAATACATCTTCCCATGATCTCTGAGCTTAAAAGACCCTTCCCCCAAGATCGCCATCAAGTCAGAAGGAAGGAGAACTGCCAGAGAAAAAATAATACAAAGTAATTAAAAAGCAAAACTTATATTTGCCACATTTTGTTACTTTCACTATTATAAATAAAATGTATCTTGTGATGCATCCTCCCATGTGGCTCTAGATTTGTTGTTGTTATAGCACAAACGGCCAACTGCCCCAAATCCTGAACTGCAAAAAGAATAAACATAGAAATGTGTTAAAATAGTCCACGATCAGATGTGCCAGAATTAAGAAAATGATGACACTTACTGTTCAAAATCAATAAACGTCAATACCTCGATGACATTCACTCTGCTTGTGCCAAATATCAACTAAAAATTTTACAAGCACAACCTCACAAACTCATTAAAGAATTAGAACAAACTCTAGAATGTCCTAGTACTGATACCAATAAAAGTTGTGATTGAATTGTACTTTGTCAAATAATTATGAATTGCATATTGTTCTACTAAATACCAAACATCCTTATCATTGTCCCACGCTTCAAGACAAAGTCCTATTTTAAAATTTCAGAAATCATTTACATTTTATTTGAATTTCGTAGCAGTTTTAACCAAAATTTTCCTCAAAATTAATAATTTACACCCAACTGTACATAATCAAGTCAGCAGTGATGCAGAAATCTATCAACAATTTTAAATGTAAATAAACATGGCATAGATGTTATTTGAAACCGTTCAATTTTAGATGATCAAATCTAATTTAGTAGAAGCTTCTATATCACATACACCATATTTTAGCAAAGCAGGAAGGCCATATGACTCTACATTAAAGAAATCCATAATTCACTATTGTTGAATGAAAAAAAATCAAAATTATTGATTAACTAATTTACAATTAACCATATCCAAAAATTTACCAGGAATTAGGGTCTACTTCTCCTTCTCCCCCTGTTGATATAATAAAATTATAATTTTAAAAACAATTTGGAATCTATGTCACTGTTATATAATAATTAGCTGAAAAACCAAAATATTATAAGATGTTCCACCATTTCTCCAAATCTTCCATCTAGTATTCAAACTAGACTGAGATGATGTAAATTTCTAGTTCCATCTGTAATATCTTATCTTTATAACATCCCCCTGTGTTTTCTTATTTCCAAAAGAAAAACAATTTAGAGGTGGAAAACAAAAATGGAAGAACTTTCCCCCATTATGCTAAAATTTCTACATGTCCAATCAGTCACCCATATGAAATATTAACCAAGTTTATTTAGTTAGAATTTAGGTAAGTGTGTTAGTGTTGGTAGTCAAAGTGGATAACACAGTTTCCTAATAACTACATCTATCTGCTTTAAGCCAAGGCTGAATTCTCGTTTCATATTAATTTCACTGCACAAGCAGATGATTCAGCTTCAACCAGATTGTGACACCAAAATATGTAATCGTCTTTACCTTAAAATTGTCCGTAAAGCAGTAATAAAAACATATTTATGAAACAAAACCTTTACTGTCCCTAAATAGTTTAAAATAAGAAAAATATCACACAGCTACCCACTAAACTGAGGTCATATTTCAACACAGTCTCACTCCCAACTCGTCACATATTGACGATTTTCCAGGTACCCTCGGCGTCACATATTGACGCCGAGGGTACCCCCTCGGCGTCAATATGTGACTTGAAGGGTTCTCTCATTGAATGTTGTACCGTTCCCTAAGCGTCCGATATTTACGACTTAGGAACGAATAAGATGACGTATCTATCTTTTTTAAAAACCTTTATTTACAACGTATGTGCTAGTTTGAACAGGATATTAATAATATTTACTACATAAACGTTCATAAAACTTTAATTTGGTATTTAAAAATAACTCAGTAAAATATAAAACCGGAGGGTTTTTGTTGTGGTTGTTAAGTTGATTTAAAAGCCTTTTTTTTTAGCTTGATTTAAAATCCTTTATTTTAAATTTACCAATTTAATTTAAGTAAAAATAAAAATGATTTTCTTTTGTGATTGCATGCAAACAGTTCTGTGAACGTTTAATATTTTTCATTGAAATAATAAAAATAAGTATGTATCCCGCAAAAACCCACGAAGAAGAAGACGCTGACGTCATCGCATGCGACGCTTGCACCCCTGTGAGTACGAACCTAAATCTTTCCAGAATGTTTCTGTACTATAAAACAAAAAAATAACTAGAGTGTAGCGTTATAAAGTTGATGATTGCAGTTTTAGGACTTAATGGCAGTCGGACTGTGCCGCGAATGGTTGAAGACATTTAGACACGTTTGTAACATTCATAATAGAAATTTACCGGAAGAACTGGACGGGAAGCTAGCTACATTAGCCTCTTGGAGTCCATAAGCTTCAACTGAACCTGCAGTTAATACATTTAATTGGCCATGCTAGAGTCGCAGAATTCTTTATAGTCATGCTTGTTGTAAAATTTGAGGATCGATATAAACGCCAGTGACCCTAGGCTGTAATGATCCTTAAAAGTTTGTCTATGAGTCCCTGTCTGTTTGCAGCTAAGCCATTTACTTCCAATTAAAACGAACTTGGATCATTACAGGGAAAGATCTCTACACCTGTCTATTTTGTTTATTGCTGTTGCAGCTTATAAAGAGAAATCAAGAATTTCCTAAATCTGAATATTTCTTTTTTTTTTTATGTCAACAGGTTCTTCTTTGATCTCATCACCTCACGTATCTTTCTGCTCTTTTATATAGCACCCACAAAAGGCACTTTTAAGAGCCACATCTGTTTTATCTGTTTGTCATCTTTGTTTCCTTAATTTGTCTATTCTTAACTTGTCAACAGTTCTGTCTGTCTGTCTGTCTGTCCTTCACCATGAGTGTCTCAAACATCTCTGATCCATTAATGGACCTAGAAACTGAGATACAACAGCAAAAAATAAATCTCGAGCTTCAGCAACTTGATGACTTGCTTGTTGAGCTGAAGAAAGATGATCAAGTACCTATGAAGATACCTGAACCAACAGTAAGGTGGATAAAAAGGGATAAAGATGGTAACAGAGTTTATAAAAGGGCAAGATAAACAAGAAATCAATTACCTAAGAGTAAGTACTTCTTTCAAAACATGATCACTGACAGATGTAGACTATTTTTTTTACACATATTAGTAAATTAATACATATATTAATTGATATTTTGGCAAAATATATTTCTTCTAACAAGTAATTAATTCAGTTTGCTTTTACATCCAGAGAAGTGGATGTAAAAACATTTATCTGTTAAAGGCTGATATCTTTCCCCAACACAAAATTGTTTTTAATTATACGGTAAGAGTATGTTGACTAGAAATTACTCAATAACAAACAGCAGGTTAGTTATATAACAAAAATGAGAAGTTTTACTGTTTTGACACACAGTACAATGTGGTTGCAACAGAGTGAATGCTTTTCCAGCAGTTGATGTACATGTATTTAGTCATTGCAGCCCTCCAGCACTTGTATTAATTTTCAAGTTTTTTTTTTATTTTGTTTGATGTGGATCATCAGTCAACTCAATCATTTTGATCACCATAGTCACCTTGATTACTTTAGTCACCGTGAAAACATTCTGCTTTCACCGGGGACGACTAAGTGTTGATAGTGCCAAGCACTTTTGACAGTTAATTCAAGTCATTGAATGTTCATTGATACAGTGATTCTGCCAGCTTTTATCCGACCTGCCCTCATTTATCTACGGCAGCCCGTGAGGTACATAACACACAAAAAAAACTTTACAAAGTGCAAATACAGTTAAACAAAACAAAATACAAACCACCAGTGCTCATCAAAATAGAGAAATATTATTAAACAGTCTGCAACATCCTTTAAATAATTTACAAAAAATAGCCTACAAATTTGGATAATTTAGGCAACATAATTTAAATGGTTCACTATCCATTAACCATACCTTATTAGAAAAGGTTCCAAACAAATGTGTTTTTCCTCCATTTGTCTGACAATCTGAATTACTTTCTTAATTTTTAGTTAATATTGTCTACTACAAATTTGAATCTTGAGATATGGGAATTTAAGACGGTTATTACATTGGAATTGGACATCCAAATGTGGATTTAAGTAAGATGTTAGATATACTCCTTACTTTTATATTTGTTTAATTCATTATTATAGCGTCCCACAGTGAGAAGACCAGATGTCCCTCTCATCCCTCTACCAGTCAGTGTGAGGCTGCCTTTGCTCCAGAGACTGTTGGTATGTCAGTAGTACATCTTATTTTATTTTTTCCATATAATAAAAGTATAGCACATACTTTTGTAACATCAAAAAAATGTTTTTATTTTTTAAAAGAGTCTTTTCTACAAGAACTCCAGAGTTCACTGAATGATGCTGCAGGTCAACCAATAGTGCCAAAAGTTCCTCTGGCGTCCACTAACTGGAGCACAAGAAAAAGCATATTTTTGGAGAGTTGGAAAGCAGAAAGACCCCGCCTGGTTAACACCATAGCAGCTCAGCACAGTGTGTCAGCCCCTTTTTGCCAACAATGTGGAAAAAATCCATCTGCACTTCGGTGTCGTGATTGCCTACCACACCCCTTCTTTTGTGAGAAATGTGATGTGATGATGCACACCAGACATGTCTTCCACAACAGAGAAACCATCATAGCTGGGTTTTTCCAGCCATTACCTCCAACTACCTATGTTTTAAATACAACTCTTTGCAATGATGGTAAGCTTTTTATTTGTACTGTTGAAACACTTTGTCTTACTGTTAACTTTTGACTGTATTTTGAATGTTCTGTTTTTCTGTTTATCTGGTTCTGCATATCTTATATGTAGTTTATGTGAATTTATATTTTAAACATGTCAATCTCTTTAGCACGATTCGTACCTGTGGAGATCCCAGTCAGAATTTGTGATTGTCCATCAGAGTGTTTGAAGATCAAACCAGGAAAGGCAGTCACTGTGGTCACAATCAATGGTGATACGTTGATACAAGGCAGGATGGATCCATGCTTTCATGTTGTAGACGCCAAATTCTGACCCTACCATCCGAATGTCGCAGCAGAAATCGAGACTTATCAGACCAGGCAACGTTTTTCCAATCTTCTATTGTCCAATTTCGATGAGCTTGTGCAAATTGTAGCCTCAGTTTCCTGTTCTTAGCTGAAAGGAGTGGCACCCGGTGTGGTCTTCTGCTGCTGTAGCCCATCTGCCTCAAAGTTCCACGTACTGTGCGTTCAGAGATGCTCTTCTGCCCACCTTGGTTGTAACGGGTGGTTATTTGAGTCACTGTTGCCCTTCTATCAGCTCGAACCAGTCTGGCCATTCTCCTCTGACCTCTGGCATCAACAAGGCATTTCCGCCCACAGAACTGCCGCTCACTGGATGTTTTTTCTTTTTCGGACCATTCTCTGTAAACCCTAGAGATGGTTGTGCGTGAAAATCCCAGTAGATCAGCAGTTTCTGAAATACTCAGACCAGCCCTTCTGGCACCAACAATCATGCCACGTTCAAAGTCACTCAAATCACCTTTCTTCCCCATACTGATGCTCGGTTTGAACTGCAGGAGATTGTCTTGACCATGTCTACATGCCTAAATGCACTGAGTTGCTGCCATGTGATTGGCTGCTTAGAAATTAAGTGTTAACGAGCAGTTGGACAGGTGTACCTAATAAAGTGGCCGGTGAGTGTATATTTCATTATGGAAGAACAGGTTTGAAAAACTTTTCTCCTCAAGGTACTTTGGTCTAAACAGCTTTATTTAAACTGGCGCTGATAACATTGGATCATTTAAGGAAATGTGGCCAGCAACATCCGGGACTTAAAAAAGGACTTCTTTTGGTAGTTACTGGTCAGAGCAGGAATATATAAATGGTTAATATATATATTACAGGCTTAGTAATTAATGTATGTTCTTCAACATGTGCATGACATTTGCAACATAGGTTTATTTAAATGTATATATGTGTGATGTGTTATATGGTCAGTTGATCTGGACATTAAAAAGGTATTTAAATGTCCACTTCATCAGTAACTACACTTAAAGCTGCTGTGTTCAAAAATAAATGTACTGCATTTGAAAGCAATTTTATTAAAGCGTTTTACAAATACAATATTGATAGACAACATAAATGATACAAAAAAGCAGATGGTGAAATTATAGGTTCTTGGCATAAAACACTTCAAAGAACTTATATTGAAATTAATGGGTTTTTTTTAACAAAATTGTATGGACTTGAATTTGGAATTCCATATCAACCTTCAAAACGCTCAAAAACAAATGTGTAAAATGCCATGTTTAAAGGATTTAAGACTATCAACTGTTACTATGTACAAACAGTCCTGTTCAAAATTTTAAACCTCTACAAAGGCAAAGTAAATAGTTCATGCATTGACTCAGCCAGTCACAGCATGTCTTAAGGCTTTTACAGAATATGACAAAAACGTATCAATGAACAGCACAAGATGATCTTATTACTACTGCATTACAACAGTAACATTAATTGCAGTGAATTACAAAAACAATATAAAACAAAAAACGTCTCACTAAAGTGAAACTGCAGTTATAGAAAAAATGAAAATTAGAACTTTGTAATACAAAAAAAAAAAAAAGCAACATCATCCCGCTTGCTTGTTGTCTGAAGGAAGTGGCTCTTCTTGGGGGACAGCAACATGTGAGAACTGACATGCAGGTTCCCATGTGTCTTCCCAGATTTTCCCACTAGAAAAGATGAACAACAGTAAAATCAAGTTATGGAATTTTTTTGTACTGCAAGGTAAACATTTTTCTCTTTCTAAAAAAGTTTCTGTAGCCAAATACTTTCCCCTGACTAAATCACCCCTCCCCCAATTAACAGCTTATTGGGACACAACAGCATCTTGTTGTGTCCCAAACAATATGATCTTGAATTATTAAGTGTCCGATGACAAACTGACTGCTCAGTAATTTCACCACCACACAAACAAGAAAAATCTCACATAGTGGTTTGGATTTTTGGTAGAATTTTTTCAAAAACTAAACACAAAGAAAGTGACAGTTTCAGATTTAATTTCCAGCTTGTATCAATTATAAAAAGAACATTATTAAATAATTTCTAGGACCATAGTGCCTTTTCATAATATAATAAAGTAAGACTGTTACCTTCAGTTGTTATACAAATGTTGTACATATCAAACAAGACTTAAATGAAATGTCACTTTGTCATTTACACACTATAATGTATAGAACCCAGGAAGAGTAGCCATGTTTAAGCCAATGTCTACTGGAGATCTTAATGAACCCCTTTTCAAAATGGGTCACTGTTTCTTTAAAAAGCACCTCTTCTGACACTGGCTTTAGGATGTCATCACACCTTCATTAAGTGGTTTACAGCCATTCTCAGTAGCGTTGCCCCGAGAAGCAATCCCTAAAATGAGCTCAGCAGAGCTGTTCCAGCAGGCGTTTGCTAATTGCAGCTGCCATTAGCCTTAAGGGATTGCATCGGGGGAGGTATGCTTTGTAGGGCGCCATCTCAGCTAGGCTGAAAATCTAAGGAAAAGCTCTTGTAACAAAAGGCCACAAAAAGCTTGATGACATAACGTAATATACATCTCCAAATTTTACATTTCCATTATATTTCCCCATGACATAGCAATATTATATTTCTGATAGGTGCAAAAAACACTTCTTACCAAGCAGAGCAGGGTAACCAATGAATTTTTACTTCCTCTTTTCCCTAGACAGCATATAAAATAAAAGACAAATCAAATAATTAAAGCAATCAGAAACATGTCCATAAAGTGTTTCTAAAATACTTAAGCGGGGAAGGAGTCTTCAGTCAGTCAGGATGAGTGGTGAATCATGGCTTTTATAATAAAATGCCTAATTATGTGATTTTGTGTTCCATTTCTATGCTTCTGTTACTGTGCCAATGCTGACTTTGTGTGAAATTGTTTTGCTCTGACTTATTGTAATGCCCCTTTTTATCCTTATAATAAAAAAAGAAAAACAGAAAGCAATTGAGTCTTGAAAGTAAATATGATCAAAAAGTTTATGAGTAAACAAATGTTTTTTTGAAGACCACAGTCCCAATTATCTAGCCTGGGTGCCATTCCGAACTTAGTCCCGCCCACAAGGTTTGAGGTCGGGAAGTTCGGTCTGGCTCTGCTCCATAGTAGCGCGAGTATTATCGCCCACTCTCTGGCGATCCAATCAAATTGTCAGGGCGGGCTTTATACGATGATGGACAGATGATCAACAGTAGCGTAATCAACCACGTCACCAAAGCGCGCTTGGGTGACAACAACAATGGCTTCCGCTGGAGAGTTGAGGTGAGTAGATTCTGCTATTAGTGTCATAATGCTAGCTCTTGGACTCTTAAGTAGGCACAAGCACAGAAAGAAGCAGATTTAAACAGTTTATTTTCAGGAAAATGTGATGACAACTGAGTCTGGAAAAAGCTGAGGGAGCGGGGGCTGGGAGCAGGCAGGCACTGGAAGGGAACACAAGTTGTTTAAAGGGGATGAATGGATTAAGAAAGATTGTTTTAAGCAGTTTAAGTCAGCTTACACTGAGTGTGAGTCCATGAAGCCCGGTCTTGCTGGTTGGTAGATGTTGGAGGTTGGGAGTGGAGACACTGGTCTTTCAGTTTGTTTGGAGATGAGGGTGGACAGGTTTGAGCCAGGGGTTCTGAAGGCCAAGTTGGTGAGCCTGAGCAAGGAGCAGAACAGCAGCCTTGGGGGAGGTGGATCCAACATCCGTCTTTGCCAGAAGGGATCCTGAAGCAGAGAAGGACAATATGGTCTTAAACAGAGAAGATCCAACAGGAGGGAAAAAACAACAATGCTGAGATTTCTCTTAAGTTGGCTTGTTACCACTCTGAGTACATCAACCATCTGCCGTCTGCTTGAGGGAGACTGCTCCTTCTTAAAGGCAACCACTGATTGAGGGAATGGAACCCAGCTGGACTCAATTAGCCTGCCACCCTGGGAGAGAAAAAAGGGAAAAGACAAACAGCCACTCCACCCAGCTCTGGAGACCTGACAGTACCCCCCCCCTAAGGGACGCCACCTGGCGGCCGACCAGTCGAAGAGGAAGCTGAAAGGCGCTCAAAATCTGTTACAAGGGAAGGATCAAGGATGAAAGAGCGCGGGACCCAAGAGCGCTCTTCAGGACCGTAGCCCTGCCAGTCAACAAGATACTGCCGACCCCGCCCACGAGGGCGCACATCCACAATACGGCGGACGGTGAAGGCAGGGTGACCATCTATGACCCGGGCGGGAGGAGGGGGCTCGGAAGGAGGGCACAAAGGACTAGAAAGGAAAGGTTTCAGTAAAGAGACATGGAAAACAGGATGGATTCGAAGGTGATGAGGGAGCTTAAGGCGAACAGAGGATGGGCCAACGACAGCTTCTACAGGGTAAGGACCCAGAAATCTAGGAGAAAGTTTCCTAGAACAGGACTTGAGTGGAAAATCTTTAGAGGAAAGCCAGACCATTTGACCAGGAGAAAATTTGGGAGCTGCAATGCGCTTCCTATCAGCAATCCTCTTGTTCTGACCTGAGGTCCTCTGCAGGGCTGCTGTGGCCTGTGCCCAGATCCTGCGACAGTTTTGCACATGGGCCTTAACTGATGGAATTCTGACATCAGGGAAGGTATTGGGGAGAAGAGAGGGCTGGTAACCAAGGGAGGCTTCGAAGGGAGAAAGACCAGTAGCTGAGGAGACATGGGAATTATGGGCATACTCGATCCAGGGTAAATGAGTAGACCAGGAGGCTGGGTTTGAAGCACAAATACAACGCAGGGCATTCTCGACTTCTTGGTTTAGACGTTCACACTGACCGTTTGTTTGTGGATGAAACCCTGATGACAGCCGAGCTTTAGCCCCTAGAATCAAACAGAACTCCCTACAGACTTGTGAGACGAACTGAGGCCCCCGATCAGAGACCACCTCCGTGGGGATACCATGAAGTCGAAAGACGTGGTGAAACACAAGTTTAGCTGTTTCTATTGTAGAAGGAAGCTTGGTGAGTGCGATCAGGTGGCATGCTTTGGAGAAGCGGTCAAAATCACACTTTTACCTTTTGAGATTGGGAGGCCTGTGACAAAATCCATGGAAATGTGAGACCAAGGGCGGCTAGGGATAGATAGAGGTTGCAGTAGGCCCGAAGGAGGTCGATGGGAGGTCTTGTTTCTGGCGCAGATGGTGCAAGCAGAGACGTATTCCATTACATCCTTGTTGAGGGAAGGCCACCAGAAATATCGCCGTAAAAGGGCCACGGTTCTGCTAACCCCTGGGTGGCAGGAGAAGGAGGATGAATGAGCCCAGTTGATGGTTTTGGACCGGACAGACATGGGAACATATAGACGGTTCCTGGGTCCACCTCCAGGGTCTAGTTCAGAAGCTAGGGCCTCTTGAATAGCTCTTTCTAAGTCCCAAGTGAGAGACCCTATGGAACAGGTGGCTGGCAGAATGGGAATAGTAGTTTCTGGGTGGTCATCAGAAGAGTATTGTCTCGAAAGGGCATCAGGTTTCATGTTCTTAGAACCAGGACGGTAGGTAATGGTGAGGTTGAATCGAGAAAAGAAAAGAGACCAACGGTACTGCCGTGGGTTCAGGCGCTTAGCAGTCTGGAGGTAGGCGAGATTCTTGTGGTCTGTCCAAATGATGACTGGAAGTTCCGTCCCTTCGAGCCAGTGTCTCCACTCCTCCAGGGCTAACTTGATAGCTAGGAGCTCCCGGTCACCAATGTCGTAGTTAATCTCTGTGGGGGTGAATTTCTTAGAAAAGAAAGCACATGGATGGAGCTTGTGAACACTGGGAGACCTTTGAGAGAGAACGGCCCCCACTCCCACATTGGAAGCGTCTACCTCCAGGGTGAACTGAATAGCTGGGTCTGGGTGGATTAGAACCGGGGCATTAACAAACCTTGCTTTGAGCTTGGAGAAGGCCATGTCTGCCTCTTGGGTCCAGAGAAAAGGTCTTTTGGGAGACGTCAGAGCAGTTAGAGGTGCAGTGATGATACTGAAGTCCTTAATGAAGCGTCTGTAAAAGTTTGCGAATCCCAGGAAGCGTTGAAGCTGCTTCCTCGTGACTGGGATGGGCCACTCCTCTACAGCTTGGATCTTGCTTGGGTCAGTCCGCACCTGTCCACCCTCAAAGACATAACCCAGAAAAGTTATAGTGTTCACATGAAACTGACTCTTCTCAGCCTTGACAAAAAGTCTATTTTCTAAGAGTCTTTGGAGAACCTTCCTGACATGAACCTTGTGTTCCTCTAGGCTGTGGGAAAAGATGAGGATATCGTCTATATAGACGAAAACAAAAACATTGAGAAAATCTCTTAGGACAACATTGATGAGGTTTTGGAAAATGGCAGGGGCATTACAGAGACCGAATGGCATCACTAAGTATTCAAAGTGACCAATGTGTGTTTTAAATGCGGTTTTCCACTCATCCCCCTCACGGATCCGAACCAAATGATAGGCATTTCTTAGATCGAGTTTAGTGAAGATGGTAGCATTGTGAACCGACTGAAAAACAGATGACAGAAGAGGAAGGGAGTACTTGTTTTTTATGGTAATCTGGTTTAAACCCCGGTAGTCAATGCAGGGACGAAGGGTTTTATCCTTTTTCTCCACAAAGAAAAAGCCAGCTCCTACGGGAGAAGAGGAAGAGCGGATGATGCCGGCATTTAGGGAGTCATTGATATATTTCTCCATAGCCTCTTGCTCTTTCTTTGAGAGATTGTATAGGCGACCCGAAGGAAGGGGAGCCCCAGGGAGGAGATCAATGCCACAATCATAGGGGCGATGAGGTGGAAGGGAGAGAGCAAGGTCTTTGCTAAAAACCTCACTGAGGTCATGATACTGTTCTGGGACATTAAAGAGGTCAGGAGGGTTGATAGGATTAATCTGGGGAGAGGGAAGAGGCGAAGGAGCAGACTGAAGGCAATGGCCTGAACAGTATGTGCTCCACGAATCTATACGTGAGTGACACCAGTTGATGTGGGGGTTATGTTTCTTTAACCAAGGAAAGCCCAGAACAATAGGGGAGTCCTTGGTTGGAAAAATTAGGAACTGGATGAGCTCATAATGATTCCCAGAAACCAACAGAGAAATCCAGGCCGTTTGGTGAGTGATGGAGGTCATAGGGCTACCATCAAGAGCATTGACCAAAATAGGTGAAGACAATTGCTGAACAGGAATTTGGCATTTGGAAATTAGATCCGGGTGAATGAGATTCTGCTCTGAGCCAGAATCTACCAGAGCTTGAAACTTGTGTTGACCTTTATTGATTTCGAGAACAGCAGGGAGATTAAGCCTTAGGTCATGCTCTTTGGAAATGCCCGCCAGTACTCCCAATCTTACTGGCGGGCTGGCTCTTTTGGGCGGACTGGACAGGAGGAAATGAAATGCTGGGGAGAACCACAATAGAGGCAGCAGCCAGAGCTAATTCGACGCTGTCTTTCTTCCAGACTTAACTTAGCACGACCAACCTGCATCGGCTCAGGAGGTGGAAGGTATGAGGAAGGTTGGATTTCTGGTCTTTGAGATGTCTTTTCAGTAGAAGAGAGGACAAAAGGAGCTCTTTTGTCTTTGGACCTCTCACGAATTCGATTATCAATCTTAATAGCCAAATCTATCAACTCATCTAAGGACTGGGGATCATCTCGACAAGCCAACTCATCCTTCAGTGTGCCATTTAAAGCATGCTGAAAGGCCCCTTTAAGGGCTATGTCATTCCAGCCAGAGTCAGCAGCAAGGATGCGAAAGTCTATTGCCAGTTCAGCTACTGATCTATTGCCCTGTTTTAGATTCCAGATTCTCCTTGCTGAGTCTTCTTCGCTTAGATTTGGACTAAATGTCTGTTTAAAAAGGTTAATAAACTCCTCAAAGGAGTAGCGAGGCAGTGTTCTTTCATTAATTGTGGCTTCGGCCCACCTTAATGCCTTGTCCTTTAACAACCCAATGACATATGAGATCTTATGGGCATCTTCGGGGAGATCGGTGGAAAACCAGGTTGCACTGCAGCAGGAAACCCTTGCACTTACCCAGCTCACCGGAGTAGTGTTCTGGAGTGGGCAAGGTGACATCACGGTATGAAGACACAGCAGAAGCAACAGCAGCGGCAGGGGCAGTTACTGAGGAAGAACGAGAGGAGAGATTAGTAGACTGCAGCTGGTTGGTGAGATCCTGGATCTGATTGGAGAGTTGATTGAGACACTGGAACATGGAACCTTGTTGCTGGAGCATAGTTTGAATAACATCTTCATGTTTTCCAAGGAGTATTCCCTGTTCAGTTAGAGCAGTACGTAGCTGTGCCCCAGAGTCCGCTTGGGCAGATGGTTCTGTCATAATGCTAGCTCTTGGACTCTTAAGTAGGCACAAGCACAGAAAGAAGCAGATTTAAACAGTTTATTTTCAGGAAAATGTGATGACAACTGAGTCTGGAAAAAGCTGAGGGAGCGGGGGCTGGGAGCAAGCAGGCACTGGAAGGGAACACAAGTTGTTTAAAGGGGATGAATGGATTAAGAAAGATTGTTTTAAGCAGTTTAAGTCAGCTTACACTGAGTGTGAGTCCGTGAAGCCCGGTCTTGCTGGTTGGTAGATGTTGGAGGTTGGGAGTGGAGACACTGGTCTTTCAGTTTGTTTGGAGATGAGGGTGGACAGGTTTGAGCCAGGGGTTCTGAAGGCCAAGTTGGTGAGCCTGAGGAAGGAGCAGAACAGCAGCCTTGGGGGAGGTGGATCCAACAACCGTCTTTGCCAGAAGGGATCCTGAAGCAGAGAAGGACAATATGGTCTTAAACAGAGAAGATCCAACAGGAGGGAAAAAACAACAATGCTGAGATTTCTCTTAAGTTGGCTTGTTACCACTCTGAGTACATCAACCATCTGCTGTCTGCTTGAGGGAGACTGCTCCTTCTTAAAGGCAACCACTGATTGAGGGAATGGAACCCAGCTGGACTCAATTAGCCTGCCACCCTGGGAGAGAAAAAAGGGAAAAGACAAACAGCCACTCCACCCAGCTCTGGAGACCTGACAATTAGGTCTGTTCTAGAAGATATCGACAGCAAATTAATTTTAAAAGAGGAACAGAGAAACACGATCAAGGCTCATCTTCTTATTCTAGGCGTGAAACTGCACGCTTTGATTTTTGTTGACAACAACTGTGTGTCGCTTAACATACGTCACGCACTCCGTTGCTCTTATTGGTTGTAGGTCTATCCAATTGAGTACAGAGGCATTTTTTTTCCTGGTTCGTTCAAAACACGCCCCATAATCACAGCTCTATGGAGCAGCATCAGACTCATTCTGACTAGAATTGAGTAGGACTACGTTAGGCTACCAATCATCACCCCTCCCCCATCTACTCATCTCCACATGTGGCAATGTCTTTCGGTGTATCATGGCATTTTTGACTAGGGTGGAAATGTCCTTTGAGAGGGTGTATTTTAGTCTTATCGCATTTGTCCTATGCCCGGTGATTGAGTCAAAGAGGAACACCTTTTGTCTACTACATTTCCGGCAACCTTAATGACAAGAAAAAAATTTTTATAAAAACAAAACATGAAATACAGCCAAAGTGTGCACAATGATAAAACTGAAAACTAACTGACTTTTAATCATTCTAAACTTTAATCTTCTTTACATGGACTTACACATTTTCTCTAATTATTTCAGAGGTTAAAATTATATTATTAGTAGTTAAATATTATTGATTTTTAACTGCTAATAGTTAAATATTATTTAACTATTGGCCAAAGAAATTGAACAATACATAAAGTGTAACTAAGACCAAAATAAGTTTTTGTCGCTTATAAACTGAATAATTATTTTCTAAATCTGTGAAGATTTTTACACTTCAATACTTGACTCCTCAAGTAGGTAGTTGGGTTTTTCCAATAGTTACAGTGAAATTCATTAACATCAAAATATGAAATAATACTACAGCCATGTCACTCAGCACTCATTCTGGTATATGACGATCTCTTTCAGTCCCACTGCCCCACACGGTGCAGCGGGGCAGTGGGGAGATGAGTTGGAATAGCAAGTGTTGTAAAGTGTATTGATAGTAGTAGTATTCTCATTTACAAATGTTTGATTTCTTTTGTGAATGGGCCTGCTCTGCTCTGATTACTGCCGAAGGAATTCTGCAGGACAGAAAACTGTTAGACTGACTGTAGGTCTTTTTAGGAGCAAGGGGGAATCTAAGCATCCTATGCTGTTTGCTCATGACAGAGCAATGCTGATTTAGGAGTCTCCAAAACAACAACAAAAAAGAGTTGCTACATATATCACTAGATGTTTTGACAGTCAGTAGAAGAGTCAGGAAAAAATCAATGAACATAGCAACAAAGTCGAGAAGCTTTGTCGCTATCTTTGTTAATCTCCATCTCCAGCAGTGTCTTTTCCTTCTCCCCAATTGTGTAAAATTTGCAAAGGCTTGGTTTATGATTTCAGGACAGTTAGTTAGTTAAACAGTGTACTTGTCCACAGGTTCACAAACAAGGTCAGGACAAGCATCATTATTAATTGAGAATTTGAAGTTAGTATAGCTGAAATGTACATTAAATGCACAGTGGCACAGTTGATAGAAGTTCTGGTTTTGATTCCTGGCCCTGGGTCTTTCTGCATGCGTGGGTTTTCTCCTGATACTCTGGTTTCCTCCCACGGTCCAAAAACATGAATGTCATGTTAATTGGTCTCTCCAAATTGTCCCTAGATGTGTGTGTGTGTGTGTGTGTGTGTGTGCATGGTTGTTTGTCCTGTCTGTCTCTGTGTTGCCCTGGTCACCACCCTGGACAGACTGGCGACCTGTGCAGGGTGACCCCCACCTCTAGCTGGAGAAAGGCAGCAGCAGCATTTTAGTGCTTAACTCCTTAAAGGAATAGTACACCCAAAACATGATTCAAATAATGGAGGTCTATGGCGCCCGAGACAGAAAGGTCCATAAAAGTGGACTTTTATGGACCTTTCTGTCTCGGGCACAGTAGACCTCCATTATTTGAATGTCAGCAGACAGCAAGAAGCCTCCCAGATCTCCAGATGCATTTGAGATATCAAAAAAGTACTCCAGAGTGTTGTTCAGCATGGGGGTGAGTAGAAAATGAAGGCTAATCATGTTTTGGGTGTACTATTCCTTTAAGTAGGTAGTTGGTCCCCCGCGGTGTAAGAAAATCAATGGATGTAAAAGCAATAGTCACAGGACTAAGGAAAACAACACTTACGCTTTCTCTTCTTACTGTCAGTCACTGCATGAAAAGTGGGATTTTCGTCAATATACGGCACTGTAGATTGTCGTGGAACTTCAGGTTAGCGGCAGTTTACGGCAATTTGCAGGCCTTGCCGTAAACTCCCGTAAATTGTCAGAAATTGACGTGGAATTTCTTAGGCAGTGTTCCCCCCATGCCTCCCCCCCATGGAATTCTAGGGGAGGCTTTAACATGTAAATGAACATGCTGTGAGCTATACAAATGCAAACCAGGGTTGCAGGGGGGGTAAGAAAATCTCTGATACAAAGAGATCAGGTATAGCCTCTTACATTTTAGCTTGAATTGATTTATTTAATTAAAGTATAGAGACCAAAACAGATCTTTAGCTGACAGAGCAATACATTTAGAGCAGTAATTATTTTTTTTTAAATTTGCATTTAAGATAAAAAATAAAATGTTGTCTGTCAATATGCTCAATTCACAATTACTTAAGTGGAAAAGTTTCAAGAAATGATTCTGAGATGATTCACTTTATAACATGGCGCATTATCCTGTTGGAAGTAGCCATCAGAAGATTGGTACACTGTGGTCATAAGGTCATAGGTCAGCATGCTAAATTGGTTTTAAGTGGCCCAAAGTGTGGCAATAAATATCCTCCAAATAGATGGTAGAAATAGATCAGGCCCAGTATAGCCTAATTATAGACTCTTACATTTTAGCTTGAATTGATTTATTTAATTAAAGTACGCTAGATTACTGTGTATGCAAATGTTATGTAAAAGAAAATACACAAAATAATTTACTTCAAAAATTAGTTTTAATCAGAATCAGTTGGCTGTAATGGTTAATTTTTTTTTTTAGATTTCCACTTTTTTTTTTTTTTGTTATTGAATATATAAGAAAACAATAACAATCTCAAACAACAAGTCAATAACAAATATTTCAATACAAGAAGAAATATCACAACTCCTGCTTTTGAAAAATAAAATTAAATGCAAAGGCTGGAAAAAAGTATAAAATAAAATAAATAAAAATAAATAAAATAATAATAGGGTTTAAAGTAAATTAATCAGTGGGGACTACCAACTGAAATTCTTCAATTAACTCAAACAATTTAATTGCATTTAAATTCTGCATCTTTCTCAGACATCTTTTGAAAAGGGAAAGTTCATTTTTGAGAGCAGAGATTGAGAGGGAGCATTTTGCATAGCGACATTTATGGATATAATACTTTGTTACAATTATTAGAATATTGATTAAAAATTCCAAATTTTTTTTCTTTAATGGATAAACCGAATTGAATGTTTTGCCAGGAAATAAAATCTAAATTTATTGTTTTAGAAGACAGAAAGGTTCGAAGTTGATCCCATAAGTTTAATACTTCTTTACATTCATAAAAAAGATGTTTAGTTGTTTCCAATTGAGTTGTACAAAAGCCACAATTCTCAACATTAAACTTAAATCTCTCTCTTAAAAACTCATTTGAAGGATATATGTTATTTATTATTTTAAATTGTAATTCTTTATATTTAGGAGGAATTGGGAATTTCAAATAATTTGTCCTAATTTTGACTATCATAGATTTCTTAAAATTTTGTTAGAGAGCTGTGCTTTTTGTTCTTCCTGGGTACATATTATTTATAGAATATTGATTCAAAAACTTGTTGTTGCATTTATTATCTCTAATGTCCACCTGCTCAAATTCAATCTTATGGAGACAAACAATTGCAATTGCAAACAATTTATAGGTGCATTACCGCCACCTTCCAGAATGGAGCGACGCGAGCTCTTCTCGCGAGTCCTTCCGTATAACAATGACGTCGTATGTGATTGGAGGAGCCTGATGAGCCTTCGGCCCCATCGTCCAATCACGTGTGAGCTTTTGTGCACTACGACTTCTCGCGAGACCAGCATATTAGCAGACATGTTTGTGTTACTACACTTAGAAGAACTTCATCTCCATTTACCGTGTTTGTATTTTGTTGTTACGTGAACAATGGCTGCACGACGTCTCGCGTTCAACTCGCCTCCAACTGCTCTTAGTCCACAACTTTCGGCCAGCCCGCAGACTGACGAGAAGAAACTGCTGATTGCTATCAGCGGACTGTCTCGTCAGCTTGCCCAACATACTGCCGACATGAATGAACGCCTCACTCAGCTGGAGAATTCGATGCGCTCCAGGTTGTAGTCCATAGAGGACAAGATGGCGGCTCTGCAGTCGAGCAACTTTGCAGGATATACGAACTCGAGGAAGAGAAGACGGGTGAACAACTCCACGCTAGCGGTAAATATATGTTCGATTACTGGTAGCTATGCTAAAAGCAGCCTAGCTTAGCTAGGCAAGCTAAAGACAACCTAGCCTAGCTAGGTAAGCTAAAAGCAGCCTAGCCTAAAGCTTTATTAAAGTGTATTTTTTGTGATTCACAGGAGGCAATATGCCGTCTTAACAACTCGGAAACTAATTGCAGGCGCTATGAACCGGAGCAGGGGTAAGGTTTAAAGAATATGCGGTAAAAGGACATGGATACGGATGGATACCGACCATAGCTGTACTTTTTTTTTTTTTTCACAGACTACAGTCGCCTCACAATGAGGCGGTGACCTCCTATTTGCTCGGATTTGCACGATGTTGATAAAGACGACATTGTGTGTAAGTGACTTGTTTTAATGTTTTCTCCTTCCTTGTTACTGTGACTTGCGTTTGATTTTTTTTTTTTATTCATACCACTCTCATTTAATTGTTTTCCAGCTGCCTGTAAGACGTATTATGAGACGGTATGCAGGAGCTTCAGATACACGCTGCTAGCCAGCACGCTGCGTGCGGAGGCCGCCAGGCTATCTGCTCGGAGTCGGGCCAGAAGAAAGAGAGTAAGACTTTATTTGGTGACTATTTTTCAGGTGCATTGATAGATGTGTTGTGTCCATATGCAGTGCGCTGATTCATTGTTTTTTTTTCAGCTGCCGAAGGCGAGGCAGAGTGTGCTATCAGATGAGGAAGTGGAACTCTGTAAGTCCGCCACCGTCGACCTCATGTCCGACGAAGAAGATGGCGTCGTCGGCGGTGTCTCTGGATGGATTGTACGGTCGCGGCCATTTCGTAGGCCGGATCTCACTGAACTCTGTGTTAAGCTGCAGTCCCGGTTAGAAGCGATGCCGAAGTACAGGCCACGCACAGTAGGCGTCTGCACATCGGACCTGCCTCGGAGGGAATGCTGCCTGTTACCTCCAACCCCGAGGAAGCAAACGGACCGTTCACGGAGTTGTAATTTTTAGATACGCATGTGTTTGGATACGCGTTGTATATAGTTGGGTGTGTTTTAATAAAGCTCTTTCTTTGCATAAACAGCTTCCTGGCAAATCTTCATTTCCTGTATAAATTCATTCATGTCCTTGATGGTAGCATAATAATTGTGTAGTAGTGTAGGATAACATAAATACACAGCATATGAATGAATAAATATATGAATGAATAAATATATGAATATATATATATATGAATGAATAAATATATATATGAATAAATATATATGTAAATATATATATATATGCCAACCAATCACGAGCGACTTTACTTGTTTAAAAGGAAGCGGTTCCGTCCAATACTCAGTAAGAAAATTAAAGCCTGGCGTGGCCACGTGTGGTTTTGCTGCCAATCACGAGCGATTTCACTTGTTTGAGAATAGTGGTTTCAGCCAATACTGAGAAGGTTATTCAAGCCAGACCTGGCCAGCCGCGCGGGTTTGCTGCATTCATATGCTAATTAGGGCCATTAGTACAGCTGATCGCTCTCCACATACGTCAGAGTCCGTTTCCGACAATTTGTGGCACGACAAACGCGGACAAGCACGGGTTGCAAATTGTCGGAAACTGACGAAAATCAGGCAGATCTGCGGGAGTTTACGGGGGTTTACGGGGACGAAAATCTCACTTTTCATGCAGTGAGTGTCACATAGGCCACCCTGACTTGATGAGATGGCATTAGCAGCAGGTGATTGAGATGACTCCTGATCTGGCTGGTCTGTGGGAGAGGCAGCTGGAGAGGGGCTTCGGGCCCTTTTTGTCTGGAAAGTTGATGAGGATGGAACAATAGGAGGAGGAGGAGGAGGAACAGGAACCAGATCAAGCACAATCACAGTCTCTTCTTGGCTTTGTGGTGAGATCTTTAGCTGCTCCTGAGCTGTGGTCTCCTTTGGTTCATTAATTAGGTCCTCAACGTTTTTACCAGTCAATTGCTCTTTGTGTGTAAAAGCATCTTCTGTAGAGGTTTGGGGCTGCACTGGTACAGGTGTGCCTAGGAAAGACATAATTTTAAAGAAAAAATACATAAGTATTCCTCGCTCTCTGTGGACTTGATATAAGGCACTACAGAAGTACACACACTCTCACACAAACATACATGCATTACCAACAGAGACGAGAAACTCATAAGCCCTCTGCATCTTATCCAAAAAATTTTTCGTAGTATCCGTGGTCTCCAAATGTGTAGTTATGTCCGCAACCCACTTGCTTGAAGATTGTTGCTTCGCGAAAAATAAAATGGGCTTGAAGCCTAAAGCATGGAGTTTGCTGACCTGCAATTGATAAGAACATGTAACAAATTACTTAAACACACCATCCTATTAGAGCAGTTTTTTTTCATTTTTAGCAACATATTGATAAAATAATTAATATTTTCAAAGTCATGTGTGCTTTCTGGTGTTAACATCTCAACTATTTCATATGGAATCGTCAGAGAAGAATGTTAAAGTTAACAAGAGGAGTACGGGCTACATTTTGCTCATTAACAGAACTTTTTCAGTCTAAAAATGTATACTTACTGCGATTTGTGCGGAATATATTACTCTGGAAGCATTTCTGTTCTTTAAAACAGCTTCCCTCCACTGATGGTCAAAAATCTGCAGCTTTTCTTTTAGATTTTTTTTGGTGGAAAGACTCTGGTGGCAGACAAAACAAGTTTTTCTGTTTGCCTGGTTAGGCGTTTCACACTTTGGGCATGGCCTGAATTTGGGCCGTGTCATCCTTAAAAAACAATGGCAAAGTGCAAAAAAACACAACAACAAAGACTTCAGATGGAGAAACAAACAGACAGACAGACAGAACTGTTGACAAGTTAAGAATAGACAAATTAAGGACACAAAGATGACAAACAGATAAAACAGATGTGGCTCTTAAAAGTGCCTTTTGTGGGTGCTATATAAAAGAGCAGAAAGATACGTGAGGTGATGAGATCAAAGAAGAACCTGTTGACATAAAAAAAAAAAGAAATATTCAGATTTAGGAAATTCTTGGTTTCTCTTTATAAGCTGCAACAGCAATAAACAAAATAGACAGGTGTAGAGATCTTTCCCTGTAATGATCCAAGTTCGTTTTAATTGGAAGTAAATGGCCTAGCTGCAAACAGACAGGGACTCATAGACAAACTTTTAAGGATCATTACAGCCTAGGGTCACTGGCGTTTATATTGATCCTCAAATTTTACAACAAGCATGATTATAAAGAATTCTGCGACTCTAGCATGGCCAATTAAATGTATTAAGTGCAGGTTCAGTTGAAGCTTATGGACTCCAAGAGGCTAATGTAGCTAGCTTCCCGTCCAGTTCTTCCGGTAAATTTCTTTTAAGAATGTTACAAACGTGTCTAAATGTCTTCAACCATTCGCGGCACAGTCCGACTGCCATTAAGTCCTAAAACTGCAATCATCAACTTTATAACGCTACACTCTAGTTATTTTTTTGTTTTATAGTACAGAAACATTCTGGAAAGATTTAGGTTTGTACTCACAGGGGTGCAAGCGTCGCATGCGATGACGTCAGCGTCTTCTTCTTCGTGGGTTTTTGCGGGATACGTACTTATTTTTATTATTTCAATGAAAAATATTAAACGTTCACAGAACTGTTTGCATGCAATCACAAAAGAAAATCATTTTTATTTTTACTTAAATTAAATTGGTAAATTTAAAATAAAGGATTTTAAATCAAGCTAAAAAAAAAAGGCTTTTAAATCAACTTAACAACCACAACAAAAACCCTCCGGTTTTATATTTTACTGAGTTATTTTTAAATACCAAATTAAAGTTTTATGAACGTTTATGTAGTAAATATTATTAATATCCTGTTCAAACTAGCATATACGTTGTAAATAAAGGTTTTTAAAAAAGATAGATACGTCATCTTATTCGTTCCTAAGTCGTAAATATCGGACGCTTAGGGAACGGTACAACATTCAATGAGAGAACCCTTCAAGTCACATATTGACGCCAAGGGGGTACCCTCGGCGTCATTATGTGACGCCGAGGGTACCTGGAAAAACGTCAATATGTGATGAGTCGGGAGTGAGACTGTGTTGCATATTTACATAGCGCTTCCTAAAACCCATCAAAGGCCATCTGCCTACACATTCACTCTCATTCACACTCAAGCAGACTCATCAACACCCCATTGTAAGAAAGATGCAGGATGTTACCCCAGATTTCAAACCAAAATTCGTCCTGTAAAAGTCTTAAACACAATTATTATAACACCATGGTTGAAAAAAAATCCTCCAATAGTTCTAATATTGTTCAGTTTTGAGTGAACCTTTTTTTAAAAACTCCATATTATACACACAACCGTATTTCATGATAGCCCACTATTATTAAATGGCTACCTACAGGTGCTGGTCATAAAATTAGAATATCATGAAAAAGTAGATTGATTTCAGTAATTCCATTTAAAAAGTGAAACTTGTATATTATATTAATACATTACATACAAACTCATATATTTCAGATGTTTATTTTGTTTAATTTTGATGATTACAAATGACAACAAATGAAAATCTCAAATTCATCATATCAGAAAATTAGAATATTACTGAAGACCAATAAAAACAAAGGATTTATAGAAATGTTGGCCAACTGAAAAGTATGAACATGAAAAGTATGAGCATGTACAGCACTCAGTATTTAGTTGGGCCTCCTTTGGCCTGTATCACTGCAGCAATGCGGCGTGGCATGGAGTCGATCAGTCTGTGGCACTGCTCAGGTGTTATGATAGCCCAGGTTGCTCTAATAGTGGCTTTTAGCTCGTCTGAATTGTTGGGTCTGGTGTATTGCATCTTCTTCTTCACAATACCCCATAGATTTTCTATGGGGTTAAGGTCAGGAGAGTTTGCTGGCCAATTAAGAACAGGGATACCATGGTCCTTCAACCAGGTACTGGTAGCTTTGGCACTGTGTGCAGGTGCCAAGCCCTGTTGGAAAATGAAATCTGCATCTCCAAAAAGTTGGTCAGCTGCAGGAAGCATGAAGTGCTCTAAAACTTCCTGGTATGTGGCTGCGTTGACCCTGGACCTCAGAAAACACAATGGACCAACACCAGCAGATGACATGGCACCCCAAACCATCACTGACTGTGGAAACTTTACACTGGACTTCAAGCAACGTGGATGTAGTGCCTCTCTTCTTTTCCTCCAGACTCTGGGACCTTGATTTCCAAAGGAAATGCAAAATTTACTTTCATCAGAGAACATGACTTTGGACCACTCACCAGCAGTCCAGTCCTGTTTCTCTTTAGCCCAGGCAAGACGCTTCTGACGCTGTCTGTGGTTCAAGAGTGGCTTGACACAAGGAATGCGACAGCAGAAACCCATGTCTTTCATACGTCTGTGTGTGGTGGTTCTTGAAGCACTCACTCCAGCTGCAGTCCACTCTTTGTGAATCTCCCCCACATTTTTGAATGGGTTTTGTTTCACAATCCTCTCCAGGGTGCGGTTATCTCTCTTGCTTGTACACTTTTTTCGACCACATCTTTTCCTTCCCTTCGCCTCTCTATTAATGTGCTTGGACACTGAGCTCTGTGAACAGCCAGCCTCTTTAGCGATGACCTTTTGTGTCTTGCCCTCCTTGTGCAAGGTGTCGATGGTCGTCTTTTGGACAACTGTCAAGTCAGCAGTCTTCCCCATGATTGTGTAGCCTATAGAACTAGACTGAAAGACCGTTTAAAGGCTTTTGCAGGTGGTTTGAGTTAATTAGCTGATTAGAGTGTGGCACCAGGGGCCATCAATTTTGAACCTTTTCACAATATTCTAATGTTCTGATATGATGAGATGAATTTGAGATTTTCATTTGTTGTCATTTGTAATCATCAAAATTAAACAAAATAAACATCTGAAATATATGAGTTTGTATGTAATGTATGAATATAATATACAAGTTTCACTTTTTAAATGGAATTACTGAAATCAATCTACTTTTTCATGAAATTCTAATTTTATGACCAGCACCTGTATACCCCCTGAAGGAAAACCCAAAAACCGTTCATGTGGTCATGTAATATGCAAAATGGGCTGCACACGAAGATCGTCCTACAAGAAACAAAGTCATTCATTAGTGTTTCAACATGTCCTACATTAACAGTGTAGAAAACACTGTCAAGCAGAAAAACATCCATATGTTCTCGTTTTTGTTCTCTTGTTCCACTCAGTGAGGGTGTTCCCGCCTGTGTCAGGAAACCTAGAAATTGAAGTGATTGTCAATGTTACAATATTATAAAAAAAACAATTGGATCATTCCAGTGCTCCAGCCTGGAACTGATGCCACACATTTCTCCCGGTGAGAAAGTAAAAACATCTGTAAATCTGTTATTTTGCACTTTTCATTGCAACAGAAAACACAGTTCTAAAAGTAATTCACATCAAAATCCAAGAATCCTGAAAGCGTGAGCTGGAAATGTCAGTGCTAACAGAACTGAAGCACTCCCAAAATGCAAATGGGGGGGTCAATCAGTCCCCCTGCTGTGAAACACAACTTGTAACCAAAATGGAGACACCTCTGTCCCACAGAAGCACATTTTAACAGAAAGTTAGTAATACAACATCCAGCAAAAACATTTGACAATATTTCATAACACAATCTTGAAACACAAATCACTTCCGCACAATCTCAGCACAATTCAGACACAGACAGACGAATAGACAGCAGCGCGTGGTGGAACATACAGTATAACGGGGGGAGACAGACACAGCAATAGATCAACCCGCAGCCAAGCACGCACACAAACACAAAGAAGCGTACAAAACACAGAAACACAGACAACGTCGTAGTTCAGTCAAGAAAAGACAGAAAAGAAAAGAAAATGTCAGGTGCCGGCTAAAAAGAATGTATGACGCATCAATCTCAGTCCCTCACTTCAGAGCTGGGTCAAGCTCGAGGCGAAAATAAGCCTCAATTTAGTTTATTCGATCAATCAATCTGCCCAGTGACGAAAGGTTTTTTTCTTTTCCAGCTGGGGAGAGCGATTGAACCCGTATTAAATCAAATAATTTACACTATATTGCCAAAAGTATTTGCTCACCCATCCAAATTATTGGAATCAGGTGTTCCAATCACTTCCATGGCCACAGGTGTATAAATTCAAGCACCTAGGCATGCAGACTGTTTTTACAAACATTTGTGAAAGAATGGGTCGCTCTCAGGAGCTCAGTGAATCCCAGCGTGGAACTGTGATAGGATGCCACCTGTGCAACAAATCCAGTCGTGAAATTTCCTCGCTCCTAAATATTCCACAGTCAACTGTCAGCTGTATTATAAGAAAATGGAAGTGTTTGGGAACGACAGCAACTCAGCCACGAAGTGGTGGGCCACGTAAACTGACGGAGCGGGGTCAGCGGATGCTGACGCGCATAGTGCGAAGAGGTCGCCAACTTTCTGCAGAGTCAATCACTACAGACCTCCAAACTTCATGTGGCCTTCAGATTAGCTCAAGAACAGTGCGCAGAGAGCTTCATGGAATGGGTTTCCATGGTCGAGCAGCTGCATCCAAGCCATACATCACCAAGTGCAATGCAAAGCGTCGGATGCGGTGGTGTAAAGCACGCCGCCACTGGACTCTAGAGCAGTGGAGACGCGTTCTCTGGAGTGACGAATCGCGCTTCTCCATCTGGCAATCTGATGGACGGGTCTGGGTTTGGCGGTTGCCAGGAGAACGGTACTTGTCTGACTGCATTGTGCCAAGTGTAAAGTTTGGTGGAGGGGGGATTATGGTGTGGGGTTGTTTTTCAGGAGCTGGGCTTGGCCCCTTAGTTCCAGTGAAAGGAACTCTGAATGCTTCAGCATACCAAGACATTTTGGACAATTCCATGCTCCCAACTTTGTGGGAACAGTTCCAGCTGGCCCCTTCCTCTTCCAACATGACTGTGCACCAGCGCACAAAGCAAGGTCCATAAAGACATGGATGACAGAGTCTGGTGTGGATGAACTTGACTGGCCTGCACAGAGTCCTGACCTCAACCCGATAGAACACCTTTGGGATGAATTAGAGCGGAGACTGAGAGCCAGGCCTTCTCGTCCAACATCAGTGTGCGACCTCACAAATGCGCTTCTGGAAGAATGGTCAAAAATTCCCATAAACACACTCCTAAACCTTGTGGACAGCCTTCCCAGAAGAGTTTGAAGCTGTTCTAGCTGCAAAGGGTGGACCGACGTCATATTGAACCCTATGGATTAGGAACGGGATGTCACTTAAGCTCATATGTGAGTCAAGGCAGGTGAGCAAATACTTTTGGCAATATAGTGTATTTTAGTCCTTTATACTACAAGCAACCCGATTAAGGGTGCCAAAGAAAGGTGATCCAACCTGCTATTAGTCCTTATTCCATGAGTGATACAACTCGATCCAATTAACCTGCTATTAGTCCTTTTCCATGAGTGATACAACTCGATCCAATTAACCCAAATAATTATAAGTCCACTGGAGATGAGCCGAAATCTCCGGCTTATACAAGCCAAAACTAACCAATACACAAATTTCCAAAATACTTTTTTAGAGGCCCAGGCATTGCTCCTCAGGGTAAAAAGAATATAATAAAAAATAAAACCCAGCTTAAATCAGAGTTAACGTAAAGGCTCTGTTTTGAACTAGCCAAAGTTCCCTGTAATGTGTATTTATTCAAATCTTTAAACAACCGACTCTTTTAGGAGGGATCCTAACT